ATGGGGTAAGGGGACAACATATGAAATGTAAATAAAACATCCAATAAGAAAAAAAAAAAAAAAAAAAAAAAAAAGAAGGTGTAAAGAAAGGGAACTCAAGAGCATCCATGCTGATTTCTCAGGCTCTTCCTTTTCCCTCCTCAGCTTTGGCTTTCCCCTTGTTTCTACCCACCTTCACTGGGACTTCTAGTCGTTGGTGTAGACTGCTATAAGCTCTGGTATTGTTGGAATATCTATGAAGTAAATCAACAACAAAAGTCTCTAAATTAAGTTCATCTGAGTTTAATTTCTGGCTCCCATCCCTGGATATTTTTAAAATTATCAATTAAATTTGACCCTCTGAAAAAAAAAATAAAAATGCTTTCTTTTTCTATTGTGTATGTTTGGCTTCTTTATCAAAGATCAAGTGTTCATGTTGTGTAGGTTCATTTCTGGGTCTTCAATTCTATTCCATTGGTCAACCTGTCTGTCTCTGTACCAGTATCATGACGTTACTTTTATCACGATTGCTTTGTAATATAGCTTGATTTCAGGAATGGCAATTCCCCCAGAAGTTCTTTTATTGTTAAGAATTGGTTTTGCTATCCTGGGTTTTTTGTTTTTCAATATGGAATTGAGAATTGCTCATTTTATGTCTTTAAAGAATTGTGTTGGAATTTTGATGGGGACTGTGTTGAATCTAAATAAACTATATTACATCCCAAATTTAAGGACTGAGATAGATGTTTACAGAGAGCCTACATGATAGACATTTCTATGAGATACATTTAGGGCCTATCGTGTTTCCTCCATTTTCTCATGTTTCAAAAAACAATCTTTTAGCTTATTTTACTTTTGTTTGTAGCATTGGATCTACCTGGTTTTCTCTATGCGTTTGTATAAACCTATCAAAACTAAACATTTCTCTAACGTGTGATTTTTATCAGTGAGAAATAATCTCGTGATTATAGTAGAAAAATATTCAAAATTAAAGTATAAAAATATTGAAAATATCTGGTATAGACTAAGAAATTTTAAGGAAACTATATTAAATCTCAAAGTCAAGCACTGAGATGGTGATGCTTCTGTAGTAGGGTTATATTATCTTAAGCTATGTCAGCCTACAGGGCAGCTCTGTCTTCCATCTGGAGCAATGGCAGCCTTGAGTAAGATCTCCCTTCAGTTGGCATGACTTTATTTCATATTTTCAATAGTTAAAAATAATTTTTATTTTTCAGAAAGACAGCACTTGCCTCCTACTATCAAGAAATCAAACTCCAGTAACAAAGCACGACTCTCAGCAGCCATCTGGAATTGCTCCTCACTGTGCTGTGAGCTTATTTATAAGGGGACAACCTTTAGCAAAAACTATCCTAGGAATCATTTCTTCAGAGGGTCTGGATGTTTTCTTATAAATTTTCATAGCAAAATTTACTAAGCACAATTTGATCCCTTAACTTTTCATTTTCTACAAATGGTAATGGGTGTTTGTAGATTGCTCTGCAACTGACATCTGCTGTGGGTTCCTTTCAACATGAAAACTTTGACCAACAAGTTTAACATCATTCGACTTTTAAACATAAAATAGACTTTTAAAATAATTAATTTTATGATGGCATATATCTACTTATAAGTAAATCTAGAAACAGACAATAACAACAATAAAACCATCTAAATTAGTCCCATCTATCTCACACCTGTAAAACAATATACAATGTATGAGTTTACGTTAAATATTAGGTTTCATTTAGCAGTTAGGCAGAAATCACCGCATGTGTAGAAAGAATCCTAGCTGTCAGATTTTCTGCCCATTTATCCAGTGGCAAGCACTGAACCTGTTACGTAGTGAGTGCAGATCGAATATTTGTTTGATGGGTACCATATGTAAAAAGCATTGGTCTTTACTATCAACGTATTGAACATAAGAATTTTAGTGAGTACAGAAAGTTAAATATTTATGATCCAGAACACTTTTGAGGGAATTATCTGCTCAGTTTTCTGTCATGAGGTCTTACTATAGTTGATTCCAAAATGATATTAGATAACTGGGTCTCAGTTGTTTCCTGACAACACAGTTTCATCAATAATTTATGAAAATTTCAAGTATAATTTTGAATAAGAGATCAAATGTTTGAATGAGTTTATGAGAAGCCCTGATGCTCAGTAATTTTATCATATGTGTGTGTATATGTGTGTGTGTATGTATGTTTCTTTTTTAAAAAATTAATGAAAGAATTAATGTAATCCCCCCTTGAATCTAATAAAAAGAAATCCAAGAGTTATAAGAAAACAGTAAGCTTATATGGAGCTGCTCCATCTTTAGACATTAGAGTTTCAGAGTAGAGTTTGGAACCACCTCCTGATTGTATGAAAGAGACATAGAAATTCTTTATGCTTTATAGAGGAGTTTATACCAAGAACAGAAAAGAAAATTAACTTGAAATTCTTGGAATGATAAAGCTATAAAAATATTCTGAAATGAAGCAAGCAATCGAGGGACATGCTTTATAAAAAACATAGCAGGTGGGTGTGGTGGCACACACTTTTAAGCACTGCACCTGGAAGGCAGAGTCAGGTGGATCTCTATGAGTTTGAGGCCATCCTAGTCTATATAGCAAGTTCAAACACAGCCAGGGGTACAGAGAGAGATCCTGTCTCCAACAAAATGAAAAAGAACCAACCAATCATATCAAACCAAACCAAACCAAACCAAACCAAACCAAACCAAACCAAACCAAACCAAACCAAACCAAACCAAAACCAAACCAAACCAAACCAAACCAAACCAAACCAAACCAAACCAACAACAAAAAGAAATAGAAAAAGGAAAAGAAAAAAAAAGAAAAACATAGCAACAGTGTAATTACTGTATAAATATGTGAAGTCTCTAAATACATAACCCAATAAATAATTGACTAAACTTCTCCAAAATACTTGCTAGCTAAGTAAGTGAAACAAAAATGAAGTAGCAGTAAGGCCAAATGAGTAAAATATCAATAAAAAAGTTATGATTTAGTTTTTCGTGTATTTTTTTTATTACAATGCATTAATATACCAAATATAAATATTATATTATAATACATAATATTAATAAATATTATATAATATTATGTATAAATATTATATAATATTTATATATAAATATATACTTATACATATTTATAATACATATTTATAATATATATATTTATACATATAAATACATATCATATACATAAAATTTATTACATAAATATTATATAATATTAATAAATAATATATAATATTAATAATATTAATAAATATTAATAAATATTATACTTAATAAACCTCCATTGTTGGTGGGACTGCAAGATGGTGCAACCACTTTGGAAATCAGTGTGGCGGTTCCTCAGAAAATTGGACATAGCATTACCCGAGGATCCAGCTATACCACTCCTAGGCATATACCCAGAAGGTGCTCGAACATATAATAAGGACATATGCTCAACTATGCTCATAGCAGCCTTATTTATAATAGCCAGGAGCTGGAAAGAACCCAGATGTCCTTCAACTGAGGAATGGATTAAAAAAATGTGGTATATTTACACAATGGAGTATTACTCAGCTATTAAAAACAATGAATTTGAGAGGTTCCTAGGTAAATGGATGGAACTAGAAATTATCATACTGAGTAAGGTAAGCCAATCACAAAAGAACACACATGGTATTCACTCACTGATTATTGGATATTAGCCCAGAACCTTAAAATGCCCAAGATGCAACTCACAGGCCACATGAAGTCCATAAAGAATGAAGACCAAGTGGGGGTGATTCGGTCCTTCTTAGAAGGAGCAACAAAATACTCAAGGGAGCAAATATGGAGACAAAGCGAGGGACAAAAACTGAAGGAGGGGCCGTCTGAAGACCTTTCCACCTGAGTATCCATCCCATGTGCAGTCACCAAAGGTAGATGCTGATGTGGAAGTCAGGAAGTGCATGCTGATAAGAGCCTGATATGGATGTCTCCTCAGAGGTCTTCAAGAGTCTGACATATTCAGAGGCAGATGCTCACAACTAGCCATTGAAGTGATCATGGGGTTCTCAATGGAGGAGTTAGAGTGAAGACTGAAGGAGCTGAAAGGATTTGTGGCCCCATGAGGAGAGCAACAATACCAACCAACCACAGCTCCCAGGGTCTAAACCACCAGCCTGGGAGCACTTATGGAGGGATCCAGGGCCTTAGCTGAATATATAAGAGTGGAGGGCCCTGCTGGGCACAGGTGGAAGATGAGATCCTTGACCTCATGAAGGCTGGACGCCCCAGGGGGTGGGAGTTTTGAGGGTGGGGAGGTGGGAGTGGGGGGGTAGATAGAGGTTACATCCACAAAGAAGAAGGAGGAGGTGTGAGGGGATTGGGGGTTCCTGGGTGGGTGGGGGATGGGGTAAGGGGACAACATATGAAATGTAAATAAAACATCCAATAAAAAAATTAAAAAAATAATATTAATAAATATTAATAAATATTATACTTAATAAACCATAATTAATAAATATAATATTAATAAATATTATATTATAATGATATTCAAAATTATGCAAAAATATAATAGATAAGTTTCCCAGTGATAATTGTACATTCTTTTTACAAAGTTTTGTAATTTCTGGAGAGTGTTTAAGCTATTAGGAATTTATCTTTCAATTTCTCTAAAATTTGTGTATATTAATAGGTATCTTTTTTTATTATTTTATATTTTCACAATGCCTCTGACTTTTAAATGATTCATTACTATGTTATTTCTGCAGAGAAAGTTAGCTATTCTAAATCATAACACTCATATGTTCAAAATCGGACAAGTAGCCCTAGCCACTAAATATTTTCACAATTGTTTTAATTTAGGAGAATGTTTTAGGAAAGAGTTTCTATTACCAAGAAAAATATTTATCTAAAGTTTAGAAATTAATTCCTTATTTCAGTTCATTACAGTATAATTCAAAATTAATGAAAATTCATATATAATACATGTAAACAGAAATAAAAACATGAAACTTATTCATTATCATATATCTGAAGTTTATTGCTTAAAGAAATGTAGGATGAATATTAGAGTAGCGTATCATATAATAATGGTTTGCATGAGTGTAGATTTTAAGCACTTTTATGTACATGAAACTGGAAGATAGTTCTGTGAGTGTTAATGGGCCGAACTGTACAAATCACAATGTACATGTATGATGTTTCAAGGAAGGGATATCAAAAGATCGTGCTATAGAGTATAAACATGCACAATAAAAGTAGTTCTATGGAAAACAATGAACAAAATTTCTTTCCATATCATGAACAAACAAATTTGAAAACAAGCAAAAGCCAATTGCAACCTTCTCAGTCAACCAGAGATGTGGTTTTGAGTAGGTGCTTCATCAACTCCCTTGCTTGCAGTGGGGTTAGCCTTCAGATCTAAGCCTGCATTTTTTTTATTTCACGTACTATTGACTGGGTCATATCCCTTACCAATGGTTTGTCTTTGAAAACTGTGCTCTGAAATGATTTCATTCCATAAATTAACTCTGAGTAACTGATGAACTTATAATTAAGTCATGAGGCTTAGGTTGCTTCTTTCTTAGTTTTGATTTTTGCGGCACTGGGATGGAACCCTGAGCTTTGCCAGCTCCATGCCAGCACTCTAATCACCTCTTCTCACATTTTATATTGTTTTGCTTTGTTTTGTTTGAGGTGGGCTCTGGTTGTGTAGCTCTGGCTGGTCAGAGATTCACAAACCTTTGAACTTGTGATATCCCTTATGGATGTCACTCCCAAGTGCTGGGGTTATAGGCATGAGCCACTAGGTTCAGTTAAAATTTTAATACCATTAATGAGAAAAATCTTTGCTCAGAATTCATATGTCTTTTCCCTCAAATCTTTGGTTAAATGAGAAAGCAGAAGTAGCCTTGAGATCAAGTTTTAAAGTTCTTCTATTTATTTTTTAAAAAAAGTCCAATAACTTCAAGCTGAATTACATCGGTATCAGATGTTACTAGGATTTAATCTGTATGGGTCATCATGAGAACCTAATGTTAATTTTCAAACTTTAAAATATTTACTGGCTACTTTGAAATAATTTGTTGATTACTAATGTTTGAACATTTGCTTTTCTTCTTCCCCAATAGTCAATAATGTTAAAATAGCATCTTTTATTCGTTTTTGAAATTTTTATACATTTATAAAATCTATTATCATTTTATCCATCAGTACTCATCTGTCTGTTAAGATGTGACCTCTGTGCCCTCACAAGGGAGAATGACATGGCAGTTGTAGGGAGAAACTGCGCTGGTCAGACATTCTCAACTTGATCCACACCATAGTCACCTAGGGAAATCAGATTCTCAGTTGAGGAACAGTCTCTATCAGATTGGCTTGTAGACCTGTGTCTGGGGTA